TGCTTAGAAAACACTGTGGTACAGAGAAAGCAGTTCCTAAGTGCTGTGAATAAAATTACTTCTCTCTGCCTGCCCTGTTCTCCCTAGAATGGCATGGTGAGTTGATCTCAGGGTCTCCTCTGATTTTTTTTCTGTTCTGCCTTCTCTGTAGTTTAGGATCCCTGTGCCATTTGGATGACATTCGAAAGCAAGATATGAGACCTCAGCACTCTGATTCTCTGCTCGTGTGGCACATTTGATTAGCCTTGATTTTAACAGAGTCCTGGCCAGCCTTGTATAAAAAGCCAGATTCAGGGCCGGGGATTTAGCTCAGTGGTTAACAAAGACTCGAGTTCGATCCTTGGTACCAAAAAAAAAAAAAAGCCAGATTCAGTGGGTAGTAGTTTTTACTAACTTCCTATTTAATTTTCAGGTTTGATGGATTTAAAAGCTTTCCATCTCCAAGAAAATATAGTACAGCATGCTGGCTTCTCTAGGCAAAGGAGTCTGCCCTGATCCTGAGAGTTTGACAGGGGTCTTTAAAGTCAGTGTTAGGTTTGCATTCTGGTTTTGCCCCTTCTCCACTGGATAGCCTTGGGTGAGCGGATCCTTGGGCCTCTGGTCCCAACAGAGCTTCCTCTTCTGAGGTCTTTGGGAGTCTGTGGTCCTTCTGAGCATCTTCTGCAGAGAGCTCAGGACTCAGCCCATTCCAGCTAAGTAAGCTAGCAGCCCTTCCTTTTTTTTCTTGCTTTCCAGGCTACAAAATAGGGTCACTGTCCTCCATACTGTTTTCTCATCCCAAGAGTTAGGCTTCACTTAAGGTCTCTCTTCTGCTGCCTTATTGGTGCATTCATAAAGGCACAGAGGAATATTTGTCTTCAATTGTATGTTTTTAGCCAAACTTCATCTTTGAGTTTTTATAATAATGTATTATCTTGTAGTCAAAACAATAATATCTTTTGTGACAATGAATTTAACTAATTTCTTCTTCATTGCATGTTTTCATTTAGCTTGAGGATTCATGCCTTGATTATTGTTAAATGTTTTATATTATTACTTAAGAACAATTGTATTTAATTAAGCAATGAAATTTAGGGGAATGTTACTAAGTATAGTCTTTTTATTTTAAGATTATACTTTTTTTGGTACTGGGGATCAAACTCAGGACCTTGCACTTGCGAGGCAGCAGGCGGTGGAACCACTGAGCTAAATCCCGAGCCCCTAAGATTATACTTTTTGAATCTGAAGTTTTATTTGCACCTTGATGGGTTTGAGTTGGCCTGAGCAATTTTTTTGTAAGTAACTTTTTAGTAAGCATTAATTAGTATTATATTTTCAGAGCTTTTGTTTATGAAAATATATTTCAAACTCCTTTACAAATGAAGGGCAGCTTGAATGGCAGTAGCATTCTTTGATTGAGTCTTCTATTTTTCTGGCATTTAGTAAATTTGGAGAAATTTACAACCAACTAGATATTTGCTCCTTTTACAATGACTCATTTTCATTTGATTTATGTGTTGACTTGTTGTTTTCATGCCTGAATACTGAAGGATTTTTTTAGTGTACTTTTACTGTAGGATTCAAAATTACTGTCAGAATACAGCTCTGAACTGATACTGTTTGGAATGCAATGTAGTTCTCTTCTTTAGTTCAGCTTTGTGTCTTTGATTTTGATTACTGTTTTAGTTCTTGTATTTTCTCAGAAACAATTCTAATCAGACTTTTTTTTGGTCCCAAGGATCTAGGATCCTTTCCCATATTTGGGCCTTATTAAGATGTTTGCCCTCTATCTGTGTCAATGATTTGATTTCCACTCTGCGTCCATGCCCACCCCCTGACCTCATGAGAGATTGTGTACTTCATTTATGAAATATGTGCAATGATCCTTTTTTTTTTTGACCTATATTCTCTTTTTATCTTGCCCAGCAATCTTTGTTTGATTTGCAGCACTCTGCTTTTGTTTTTGGAGATCATATCTTCTTGTATCGTATTGGTAATACCAAATAGTGCCTTAAGCTTACTTCTAATTCCTGCAGAAAGTCATCTTTAGGAAACCATTCTTCCTTTGAATCTTTAGCATGCTTTTTACTCTCCAGATTCAATACTTCTTAGTAGATTCATGCTGACATTTAGCTGTTATTTTTACTGTATTCCTGAATTTTGAAATACCCATCTAGGCCTGCTCACAGAAAGCATGCATGTGTTGTCCTTTGCCCCACCCTCTGTCCTCCTGCTTGTTAATAAAATTCCTCTTTAGCTTTCTGACCTTGTAGCAGGTTGATGTTTATAGGTGCTGACCCATTTTCAGTAAACTAAAAGAGTTTCTTATAAGGTAGCTATCTCTAATGCCTTGTTCTCTGTTACTTTATACAGTATATGAGTTATGTAAGAATGCAACACTTTCAAAACCATCTTGTCCCTAAATCTGCTTTTCTGCAAATACAATTGCCAGGGTGCAAAGTACTTCCCTTTCTAGTTATTTTTTTAAAAATAGCAATCACTGACTGAGGGTGGGGAATGGAGGGTTTCCTGCCACTCAGAAAGTGCCATCATTCATAACTAAGAGCTGCCTAGCTTTCTGACTGATAAGGATTTTTGTGTTTCTGTTCAGGGTAGCAAAAAATGAAGAAAAGGAGATGCGCAGATAAGAAATTTCCTACTTCCTTTAAGGTTCATAACTTGTTTTCCACACTTCTAGTCAAACTTCTTAATATACTTTTATTCATTTACTATTATAAGACTTCTTCCCTAATTTTAGCAATAGGTTGAAGATCATGTTTTACTTTTTGTGCTTACATTCAGCTTTACTTATCTCTTTCCTTAGAGATATTTTAGGGGAGAGTTGGGAGAGTCTGTACTGCAGGCTGGCAGCAAGCATTTAAAACTGTATTTATAGGAGATGCTGCAAATAAAAAAAAAACCTTTTTCATGTTGCAAAATGCTTGTAAATTTTGCTTCCTGAAGATACTTTGTGGAAATAAACTCTGCCTTATAAATATTCATCACAAGTTGTGATTCAAATGACAGAGGCATCAGTGTTCCTGTAATAGAACCCATGTCTTACGAAAACTGGGTCATTTTAGTGATGAAATAAAATGCATATACATATGTAATGTTAGGAATTCCAATAGCTTCTATAAAATTCTTATTATACATAAAAGTTGCTTACCACTGCCTGCTAACAATAGTCTTAGAGCTGAAACAGCTGTTATATATCATTTAATAAAGCATTTGCAAATTCACTTGCCTCCAAGAGACAGAAAGGGAAGGCAAATCTTTGGAGCAGGCTTGTTCCATACAATAAGGATAGGCAGGGACTACAGAAAAGTAGAGATTGGTACTGCCTTGAGTTATCTTTAGCGTTACAAACCTAGTTTCCCATTACAGAGATTGGACTGAGGTCAATGGATATTAACAATTTGCCCCTAAATTAGGAAGATCTATGGACTTAATTACAGTCAGCTACATAATTTGTAGAATACCCTGCAAAATAACATGTAGGACCCCTTGATCAATAATGAAGAATTTCCAGATGGTGACACCAGAGCCTTATACCAAACAAGGGGTCCTGTCTTCTGCATAAATCACAAGCCAATGAAGCCATACTGGTTTTAACTTCTGATCAAGAGTTTGTAGTCCAAACAGGGAGATAAGCACAGATACTCTTCGCCCACATCCATCAAGACATTGATAATGGAGATGGGGTTAAAATTAAGCTTTTTACTTTGGTACTGTGTAAATGAACCATCTTTACTTACATAAGAGCTTTTGTATGAGGTTTGAGAATTGTTGCTTTTCCATTCTTGTTTGGAAACTTTGGCTGAATCCTTCTTCCTTCCATCAGTTTTTATTGTTCCTTCTTGAATTCCAGTTTTATGGGTTGTTAGTTGGATTTTTAACCATGGAGTTCAAAGATCTTCTCTAAAAGTTCTGACTGAATTCCAGAAAGTTTGAAGCAAGAGGTTTGAAGAAGAGTTCTGCTTGTGAAAGTCTAAGGACACCTGTGTGTGCCCATAAGTCCTACCCAGTTGTTGGGAAACCCATATCATTATTCTTTCCCCCTGTCTGAATGTAACTGTCATTTCTTTCAGATGAGTTTGTATATCATTTGAATCCTCTTATAAAGTTGCTTTTTGTTGTTATCCTATTTGTAATTTTTATGTGACCTTCAAGCAGAAAAAGCGCTTTGGCTTCTGCTGGACTGAAGGTGACTAGTCACTTCTTCCTTTGTGTTCATTTATAAGCCACAGTCCAAGGTTCCAAAACAACATGGCTTCAAGAATGTTTAGTGACATTCATCCAGCTATTCCAGGCACATTTCTTCATATTCAGAAAGTACAAGAAATAAAATTGAGAATTGACTACTAGGGCAAGAAGTTTTTTGGTAATGAACAAACAAACATATATATACATACACACCTTATATTTTAAAATATTTAACACTAAAATCATTTAAAATAAAAGCAACTTTGAAACTTTTTCCTCTTTAAAAAAGTGGGTCTACCAGCTAGACCTAAATGGCATAAGGCTGTTTTTCACAGTTGTAATTTGAGCTCTTAGTCTGTATGCCTTCCTTTAGCAACATCCACACAGATGCTGATGAACAGTTGTTAATAAAACAAAAAAATCTTATGTAGTTTTAAAATACCATGTTTTCAAATAGATATGAAGTTAAGTCAAATTACTAGTATCTCAATCAGACAAATAATTCAAATACCTTCATATTGTTGAACTGTATCCCTTTATGAGTGATTAACAAGAAAAATTCACATGCTAGGAAAGGAGCAGCAAATGGGTGAATGCAGTATCTAATAAAAGTTAGGAAGGAATATTGATATTTAAAACATTTGCTGTGAGCCATGTGCAAGAATTTATATGTAGCTAGTGACTGCTCATCAAATTTAATCCTTGGTTATTTTGGTGGGGGGCAAATATAATGAACTGTTTTTCCCTCCTGCCTTTCAGAATATTCTGTGAGATATATAAACTGAATATCATCGAATTTTTTTAACTTTCTACAGGTGGAGATTTTCATTTTACCTGTATGTATTTACCTACGGAGTTCGGTTCCTGAAAAAGGTAGGATCTGTTAGATTACTTTATATAATTTCTATGTAACTGTAAATTATATCCCATTACAGTTCCTTCCATAGTTGTGTTTTCCTTGCTATTGCTTTGCTAAATCCTGCATGAAATAGGGCACCTTAATCTATGAAAGTAATTCTTTGTGGCTGTCATGGGCTTCTTCTGGGTTATTTTAGTGTTTGCTGATACTACTAATGAGTTAGGCTACTTAAATTCAAGACTTATGGAGACTTATTTTCTCATAGTGATGTTAACAAATTTGGCATAAGATGGGAAATTATTTTTAAAAGTACTTTACGAAGCTAGGCATTACAGGCACAAGCCTGTAATCCCAGAACACTGGGAGGACAAGACAGGAAGATTGCAGGTTTGAACCCAGCCTGGGCAATTTAGCAAGACTGTCTCAAAAAAATTTTTTTTCTTTTAAGGGATAGGGATGTAATTAATGCAAAGGCCATGGGTTCAATCCCAGGCACTGCCAAAAACATAAAATACTGTATAGAACTAACCTCTAAAATATTATCACTGTTATTTTTATTACAAAAATATCTCTGAAATAGGACACGTGCCAAGTGGCATGCCTTAGTAGTAACCTTCTTATAAATATTGACATGAAAATTTAAAATGTTTTTTAAAAAAATTTGAGTTATCAAATGTTGCCTACCTATAGTGTATTTTATTATAAATAGCAGTTTTCCATTATCGCAGTTTCCTAAGGGAAACAGTCTTTCAAACTTGTCTTTAAAAAAATAGAATGGTTGTAGGGCATTTATACTTACAACTTTACTACCTTGGAAGAGGAAATAGCATCGGCGGGTATTTCAGGAGAGTTGTGATTCAAGGGAATGTGTGCTTGCTGACCAAGGTCAAGATTGGGAATTCACGCCAGGTTCTGTTGCTGAGAGGCTCTGCTGGAATGAAAGGGAAGATAGGCGGCCTTACCTTGCCTTGTTCCCAAGTCTTCTGGGCATGGTTTGCTTTAGCTGTCCTACGGTAAGTATGGCTATCTATCATCAAAGCAGGAAGCACTTTCTTGGACACTTAGCTCTGGCTCACTTTGTCCATGAACACACTGAATAGAATGAGAATAGCTATTGTTCACCAGCCCTGAGTGGACTGTTTTAGGGCTGTAAGAGGACTTCTCAAGAGCATGTTTGCATGGAACTTGTTTTTCCTTAAACTCTGTCGATTTCATACCAGATTCCTTTCAACTGCCTCTGGTTATAACAGATGTTTAGAAAAGGAAAAAAGAGTTAGACATAGCTCTGGTTGAATTAATTTGTATTGGGGGTTTCTGGCTGTAATGCTGTCTAAGCATCATTTTGTTTTGGATCAGTTATATGGTTCTGTGTTCCTTAAAATGTACGATAGAAATGTGAGCATAGAAATCATGTGACTGAAATACCTGTGGAGCATTTCATAAGCCATCTTGTCCTACCCTCTTAATTCACAGTCAAGGAAGCAGAATTCCAGAGAGGGTAGGTGGCATTCTGAAGGTTACACAGCTTGTTTATTAAAGACCAAAACACAGAATCTTCCATGGCTTTCTGACCACTTTACCAGCCTGGTCTAATTTCAGTATGATTTCCAAGTGATTTCCTTATTTGGTTAAGTTAGAAAAGTTGACACAAGCAGCTCTTCCTTCGAATTTATATAACTTTAAATACTTCAATAGATATTTATGATGTTTTTATCAACTTTCTTGGAAAGGATAACATAATTTACCAATCTAAACCAAGAGAAAAAAATATTGTGGATTCAGCATCAAAAATAATTTAAGTAATTCAGATTTTCACAATATTGTAAATATTTTTAAATAAAATACATGTTCACCAAAAGATCATAACTTTATCCTCATGTTCAGATTTTTCTAAAAAGAATAATGTGAAAATTCTCACAATCCCAGAGTAATGGACCGATTTTAGGAGGTGGGAGACTATCACTACCTCTTATTCCCACCATAAAAAATGTGATTTTTTTTTTAACATGAGCTTTCTTTTACATGGGCTTTTTTTTTCCATTAGAAAATTCCTTGCAGTTTGCATACCCAGGTCCTTTCTGCCTTTAGATAGAATAAACTTGTTATGATTCATCTTCTCAGGTGGATTAAGTAGGTATGTTTTCTACCCTTAGAGAGTAGGGAAGTAGACACTATAAAATATTTATTTTACAGACATGTAAGTCAACTCTTAGGTACCAAATCATTACTAGATTCGTACAAAATATTTAAATAGTTTAAAGTAATCCTGGTTCCATATAGTCTGCTCCAGTTATTGCTGTACATAAGTGACTGTGCTCATAAATACATTGGGCCGCAACAAATACTTTTGTAAAAGAAGATTCATAAATACTTGAGGTACTCTGAAGTCCTAACATAGAGTATACTCAAACAAATCATCGAAGTTTCCTAGATTCTGAAAGGAACCACATATTATGCTTTTAAAAAGCTATCTCTCATATACAGTTCCTTTTATTTTTATGTATCTATGGGAGTTTCTATTGGGTGGAATCCTTTAAATACTTTTTTTTTTTTGGTACTGGGAATTGAACTCAGGGACTTGCTCTTGGAAGGCAGATGCTATGTTGCTGAGCTACATTCCTGGTCCCTTTAAATACTTTTGAGTCCTTTGATTTACTCATTTAAAAAGATAATAATAATGTTACCAGAAGGCAGTATATATTTATGTTGTTCCAGAAATCTCAGAGAGAAATACACGGAGATACAGAATTCAGGTAAAATAATAAAAGTTCTACTTGCAAGCAGGCAGGACTGCCATAAACCAGTCTGGTCAGTATCCATGCACCCCTTTGTTCAGTATTTCCTTTTTATATCCTTTTTAGCCCTTATCTCATCCCTAGTGGTCTTTGATGTGTAAATACAATTCCAGTTCCTGTTTACAAGTCACAGACACAAGATAAGCACATATACATTGTAAATTCATCCAGGCATTGCAACTTGGTTAGGTTAATGAAGTTACTGGTTAAAGAGTCAGATAACTGTCACCTTAAAGTCACGTTAAGTAACAAGAGTTACAGGAAAAGCAAATCTTAAAGGAACACATTACTTATTTTACTTCTACAACTACCTTAATATTCAATCTACTAAGTTATCTAAAACTTTTCCCTATCAGTGTGCTACTAGAATTTAGGTAAATATGTTTCTTATAATCTACATGTTAAGCTAATTTATTTCCAGCTTTTTGACCATGTGGTACATTTTATATTACAATTCATTTTGCGCACATGCTTGGATATAATTAAAAGAAAGTTACTCAGGATATTCCTGTACCCAACTTCATATCCATTTGGGGCCAATTAGAAGACAGAAACCGCAAGAGGTATTTTGGAGTTGTTATAATGTGAAAAATCATTAACCAAGGGAACTACTAAGTCTGTATTCCTCAAGGTAATTGAATTGCTAACTGTGGACTACTGGAGTTTGATGAGATAAAGAGCTTCCACTAGGATATAAATCAAATCACTGCTTCTTTTTGAGGGACTCTACCTATGAAGTCAGATCAACCAAACTAAACTGTGCCTAGCAATACAATTAATTTACGCTGTGGTGTAAGCTCCTTTGTCATCAAAGACCTGTGACAGTCATTTCAAGAACTGGCTTTTTCCATTAGAGCTGTACTGAGGTGTTATAGAGATAGTAATAGTGGGAAGATGGTACCCCTCTGAGGACCAAGGGATTACAGGAAGAGGTTGGCATTGGCAGAACCTAGGCGCTCCAGGGAAGAGCTACGGAGCCTGATAAAAGTCTTCTAGGGTAAGGATTCTGACCAGCTGGTGACCCCGAGGGAACACAGTGAAGCTGGCTCTGAGAATGTGGAGAAACTACAAGCTGGAACCAGCTGCTGCTACTGCAACCAGCTGCTGCAATAGAGTGAAGATACATTGCCAGGGGGATTATGAGAGAATTGGAAGGAAAATAGAAAAGAGCAAGTCATATTTTCCTCTTGCAGCCTTCCAGCTCCCTTCTTTTGCTTCTGAGGGGCCATACTTGGCAAGGCCTCAGCTCCTTAGAGTCGGCAGAAGTGTAGTTTGCAGAGTCCAAGCTCTGGGCTGAGAGCAGCATCTCTGACCAGCTCAACCTTACCATATTCCTACAGTCTGTGATGTGCCTTCGTCACCAGCTAGTATAAGTCTTTGCTTTAGTGGTAATGAAAATTAAAAATAAATGGCAGTATGAATTTATAGGTTGAATAAAGTCAGAGAAAAATACTTGGAGCATCTGGAGGAGGCACACTCTGATGAAGAGGATTAGACTGTGCCATGAGGGTAGTCTCAGTCACGTGAGCTCTGTCGGAATCTAAGGTAACCATAGTTTTAGGGCAAGGATACTTCTGGCCAAAGGTGGTCTGTCTCGAAGGGTGATGAAATCAGCTGGGTAAATTTAGGGCTTAAACATGCTTTGCTGACTTTTAGACAGACACTTCCTAAATGACTAAAATGCCTCTATGCAGAGATGAGAAAGATTTGACCCAGCATTTCACAAAATGAAAGTCAAGCTTTGTTCTAGTTTTAGTTACCTGCTAGATATTGAAGGCCCAAGTGGAGAATCAGTTTTTGGTGAAAACCACTCCTAAGTCACTGTGAAAACCACTTCTAAGTTGCTGTCTATCTTAGAAGAAAACACAAATCATGCTTTCAATGAATAACGAGTTTGTCAGGAGTTTGTCCTCTGCCCCTGTAGTGGTCTCTGACTGTGTCATGTCTGTGTTGCTCTGGTAACTTATTATAGTTTATTACATTTACATATCCTTGCTGCCACCTATTATGCGGACTTCATGACAAACTACCAGGTGAAAACTCAAAGTTCAAAAGCATTCTCCAGACTGAGCCCTTTGGCCATTTGTTGGTTTGGACTTCCCGAGTCCAACCTGAACCAAGCTGAAGCCTGTGATTGTGTACATGGCTGCTTTTCAAAGATCACTAGTAAAAGCAAATGTTCCTCTGGTGTCATGTTTCAAGATACTCTGTTTTGTTTT